TTTTATTATTTTCTGCTTTAATAAACCTTGATTTTTCCTTTCCTCCAAGATCAAAAATCTCTCAAAGGAAAAAAAATCACAGATATATCATTATATAGAATCATATTCACCTCTGCACATATATCTCTCTCTTTCTTTCTTTCTTTCTTTCTCTTTGACATGGAGCTTTTGATAGTTAGCTTTGTGTTTCTTCATTACCCACAGTTTTATGCCTGCAAGTAAGTAATATACCTTTATAAAAGTTTGTTTTAGCACACAGTCTTGGAAATATATTTTTGATTCATAGAACCAGAGAGTTGAGACTAAGGGCTTGGTTCATACACAGTATTGCAGTGCCTAATTTTTGGTGCCTCATCACTGTGTAAAACAGGCTGTTGGACTAGCTGGTCTAACCCAGGGGTCATTCATGCTTCAGTGGAGGTCTGAAATTACCCAGCTCACTCCAAGGTGGGCCAGCCCTTTGGCCTGACTGCTGTTACTTCTTCCTGTCACCTGGCCATCACATGGTTTAAATGCTTGCCACAGAAAAGCTGTGAAGTCCCTGGCTTTGTAGGCTAGTTCTAGCCTACAGGCTGTAGGTTGCTGATTCCTGGTCTAGCCCAGTAAATAGCAGTTCTTTTGCCTTTTGCTCTCAAGTGGGATTTACAACCCTGAGCAAGATGCCTAGGCTACCCTATACAATTCCCAGGGAGAGTAAAGTGTCAAAGAGTGGAATTTGCAGGAGCCAGCATGTTGAACAGGCAGCTGTCTATACTACCAAGTGTAAAATGCCAAAAAGAGAGGTGTGGGGGAAGCCCAACATCTCTGGTGGAGTTTGGTATCTGTCAGGCTCAGATAAGAGTATGTCTGCTTGGGATTCACAGCCCTGAACCCTCTCCTGAACTTTGGCACCAAAGCCCTTCCTTCAGAAAGTGGGAGGGTTTTGGTACTATTTAAAAGCAAGGTGAGAATATGTGGCTTTTTGATACAGCAGTCCAGTGAGTCAGACACTCACCTACTTTCAATTGCCTCCTCTGTCTGAGAGGATTTGGACTCATCTCTCCCACCTTCCCTCTCCTGTTAGAGCTCTATCTCCCTCTCAAATAAGTCTCTTTCAGCTGAAGATGTTAACTTTATATAGCTAATTAGATATTAATTGGATTCCTTAAGTGAGTGCCTGACAAGGAGGTTATAGAGTCATTCTCATGCTCTCAGTATCTGAGCATTTGAGACAAAGCAAAACCACTTCAGCAGGAGAAACTGAAGTTCAAAAATATAATATAATAGTTTGAACAGTCACTTTGAAGGTGGAAGATACAGGTTCGCATTTCTCAGAGAAAGGATAGTAACTTTCTAACGACTGGACTAATGGGGTAGCACTGTTGCTATGTGTAGCCAGAGGGCTACCAGCACTTAAAATGTGAGCCTCCCCATGTTCGACCAGTCAAACATGGCACAGAGTGTTTGTATTGTAGTAAAGTTACAACTTTTTGCTGGAGGAGTATCTCCAGATTGCATTAAATAGCATGAACTCAATTATTGTCTGACCACTCCACAGACATAATATGAGCAAATTCATGGTCCTCCTGGCACCAGAGGGATCCAAAGGCAGGAGTGGATCCAGCAGCAGGAATGGCACCCTCTCCTGGGCTTGGGTCTTCATGTCTCCCTTTGCCCACCACTAGTGGCACAGATCCATCTCACTCAAACGTGCCTGGGGCAGGTGCTCCCATGCTGGTAAGAGCTGGGCAGATAGCAAGGAGGGTGTGCAGGTTGTATGTCTACATGGGCAGATGTACAAGCTGCGGCACTCAACATCTGGGGCAGGGAGGAGGGAGCAGGCTCCAGCCCTGTCCCAAGCGGGCTGTGAGGGCAGTAAGCATTACCTTGTGACTACTCAGAACTTGTTTTAATATTTAATATGGTACAGTGATGCCTACTGTGTCTCAGATAAAACATATGCCATGTGTCGCTTCCAACAAGGTCCTTTGCTGGGTCACATCCCACATGGGTCACATCCCACAAAGGGATATGTGGGGTAACACCCATGAGGGGTACTTGGGGGCTTCATTTCAGAGACCTTCAGCACAGCCAGGACTCAGCAGGTGCCAGAGGAGGTGGCAGCATTGTGGGGTTCTGCGGTGGCTTCATGGGTGCTACATGTTGCACTTCCCTGCCTGACAGGACACTGGCGCAGCCCAGCCCCAGGCTACTCATCAGCTCAGCCCTTTGCTCCCTACAGTGCCCTGCCAGCCTCTGCCTGAGGCTGGGCTTGCGCCAGGAGGTTCCTGCCTCTTGGAGCCATCCTGTTTTTATCATGTTGTCCCTCCTTATTTCTTAATAGTCTATCATTCATGGACATTTCTACTCTACCACCTCTGCCTTTATTCCTGTCTTTACTGTACCATGAGTGAGATAGTCTCTGAAGAGAGAATGGGAATTCCCATAGCTTGGCGTGTGTTCAGTCAGGCTAGTCATACTGCTGATGTAAACGGAGGAGCACTGAGCAGGGATAACAGTTGTAACAGGTCTGCACTTGGCACTGGTGAAACTCCTCTGGCACCCCTACTTAAAGAAAGAGATTAAAGGAAACAGAGAGGACTCGCAGAAGAGCCACAGTGGGTGTTTCTACATGTTCATGAATGCGCTTTTGCTACTGCGCATTCAATTTACTACGTCTAATGTGAGGCCCTCCTAACTTAATGTGCATAGGCTGCCCTAACGCACAGCAGTGAAAGTGCACGCTTTTTGAGGGACACAACGTAAAGCTGCCTCATTTCGCTGAGCATTCACACACAAGGTCTTTGCTCAAATGCGCCGCAAAATAGGCTACTGCGCATCAAAGCACACCTGTGGACGGGCTCCTGTGGGAGCGGGTGAGTGGAAGGAGAGAGCCAGGTAGCCTGAGGTATGTCATTACTTTTTTAGGATCCTGGTGCCCGCGCGGGGAACAGATACTTAAAATAGCAGGACAGCAGCCCCAGCAGAGCCGGCCCCGCCATCATGACCCAGGCGAGCGGCACCGAGTCACCCCCGGGCGGGCGGGACGAGGCATGCCCTGCACCTGGGCGCGGGCTGACCGCGGCTTCCCGCCGCCTCCCACCTGCGCGGGGCGGGGCTAGACGGGCGGCGCCTCTGCACTGCCAGGTAGCGGCGCGGCGCCTTCTTGGCTCGGCTCGGCTC